ATCTTGTTGGAATACATTTATAAAATTATCCATCTCAATAAATGTTTAAATAAATAAATAATCTCATTTGCATGCCTATTGGAAGGAAATATTATGAACTATCAAAGATAACAAATTATGTCAAAAACAACTAAAATTTTATGGAAATTGAAATAGAAATATTGGAATACAATGTACGCATAGTATTAAATATAAAATAAAGTATTATTCTTACATTTATTCCTTAAATTTTATCCATTTTATTACACAATGCACTTGAGAATGCTTAACAGGAGAAAATCTGAATAAATGGAAGCATAACAATAACAATGCAATAGTCCGTGATAATCTAAGAACAATCTGGAAAATGAGAGATATAATGATGCAGCCACTGATTCATTCGTCATCATTATCTTCGAATAATCTGTAATTTAACTGCAAAACGACGCTCGGAAGACTGAAAAAGAATGAAACGAACAAGAGAAAACGGATTGAGACTTGAAGCGGACCAAATGCCGTGCAAATGGAACGAATCCTGAACGAAAAGCTCTATTGATTCTATAACGAATTAATTAGTCTCGACACAAATGCTTCAAACTCAGTCTTGCCCTTTAACGTACCAACTAGCTCGGACTGTGTTATTCTTAAGTCCATTGTGAATACTTTTATGTCTCTTTCTTCGCTGATTTCAATATTGTAATAAAAAAAGGAATACTTTTCGAGACTTCCATTTGTTCGCAGAATCTTTGATAAATTCAAAGTTGTTCTTTCGTTTAACAAAAGTGAATATTATGACTCGGAAACCACTTTAACTTTACTATCGTATTTACTGTTTGAATTTAATCTACCAACAGTTCGAGGATGAAATCTGTGTACGAACTTATGAAAGAGCGCAAAAAGGGATGTTTTTCACACTCGGCGAAGTGCGAAAAACCACAGGCTCTCGCCTCTTTTTTCCTATCTTTTCAACGTTGTAGCCACCTCTAAAAGCCATGCTACGCCGCGCACCGGTAGCTTTTAGCGCGGCACAATCGTTGAACGGTACGCACCAAACCAACGAGTACGTTTTAATGTAGCGTAATGGATAGTCGTGGTGAAATTGAACGATCCCGCAGGAAACGTGATTCCCGCGAAACTCCCCGTCGAGGGATCTAATTTTAGCAATCTCAAGAGACTTTTCGAGATGGCTTAGGAAAAATTAGAATCGTTGAGAAATCGATAATAGAAAAGAAATGATAATAAGATGCAGATAAAGCGGATAACTTATCAAATTTCGTCAGAAGTCGATCGTGCATCCTAAATAATTCGCCAAAAGTATTCGTAGCCAGTGTTGAACGAAATTAAACTAGCAATTACTCGCCAGAATATTAGTCAGTTAGCTTCTGCAAAATCTCCCCCCTCCGAAACAATTTTATAATTTTTTAAGTACATATAGTAGTTTTTCTATGACTAAAATAAAAATAAAAACATATATCAAATATTTCTATAGAAATATTATATATCACAAATACATTGTTAAATTCACAACTTGTTAATAAATTATAATTTGACCAATGTAAGTTATTTGTAATCATTTCTATGGCTTCTACTCAAAAGGTCATTAATTTAGCTAAAACAATAAAGTTAAACAATTTCATTCACAAACAATTCAGGAAAATATCAAATTTAACTAATATTTAGTTTATATTAACTATAAATGCATATATTAATACGAGCTTTGTTTACTTTGAAATTATAAGTCACAGAAATGAATTGATTTATGTTTTGACACACATGAAAGTTAAAAGTAACAAAATGTTACCTAACTCCAAGGGATTGGGATACCATTGCTCCTTTTTGATATTTTATAGTGTATAACACGAGTACGTGGTAAGAAAAGAAAATCTACCTTGACATGTACTTTCTTCCTGAGGTCTTTACAAGATCTTTACTGACATCAACAACAACTTTTCTTATATATAGAGGTCATTAAATTTCCGATGCTGCAACTTAACGACGCTCGCGTGCAACGAATTATTCACGAGCGCGCGAGGTACTTGGATTTTACAGGTTCGCAAACCTCCATATTATGCAGGATTATCCTACCCCAGAGTACCTCCGAGGATCACGCTTGAAACATTCGCGGAAGCAGAAGCTCATGGGAAAACCGCGATAGAGCTGTCTTTATGTTTTCTCTCAAGTGCTATCAGCGAATACTAGTAATAGAACCTCGTAAATTATGGTCGGATGGTTACGTATGTGTACGAATCATTGTCTTCACGTCACATGTTTACGATATCTTAATACACACATTATATTAACATCACACATTGTTTAATGTCGTAAACGTAAGTTTTAATTAATTAAATACTTGAAAAAACAAACTTAAATAGTTATCCAAAAAATTAGGATAACTTATTTTTTACTATAATAATATTAATATTAACTAGAAATAAATCAAGATATACTATGTTATGCATGCGATGATTTAGTAGTTTAACTGTGCGTATAGTCAGCTATTAAATCCCTTTGATGAAAGATATAATTAAACAGTCATTAATGTTTTTTATAATAATATCGAATAAATTATATAGCAGAGTATCGTCGAAATTATATTTCGTGATTGAATGTAATTATCGTAATCATTAAAATTACATTAAGTATATTTTAATATTGCATTTTACTTAAAAATATTGCGATATATTTAATCCTAAATAATAGAAAATAAAAATTTCAAATTTAATTTCTGTCAAAAAAACTACCTTCATTTTTTACAATATTGTAATATCTATTTTTATTTTCTAGTATAAACTACTTTTTACCTATATGTAGACTTTCTAGCGCTTTCAGATTCCCACCTGAGTGCTTCCCAAGCATTTTATTCTTGTTTAACATTAAGTGAACAATATATATAAGAATAAAATGATACCTCGATGGCACTTGGGATCTGAACAGAGCCCTTTAAATAGATTCTCCAAGAGTCAGTGTCACTATCTCCGATTAACTTAATCGATCGATTATTCCATTAGAATTGACCAATCACAATCGATATTTAATCTATACTCTGATCGACCGGTCGAGCTAATCAAAGGTGGTCAAATTAGTAAAAACCTAAAAAATTATTACTATTAATTTTCAGTCTCTTTTTTTATTACTTTTGCCTTAGTGAAATAAAGTTAAAAAATACGATAATAATTGAAATATTTTCATTATTTTATGCTTTTATTTTTGCAATATTTCAAAATATAACGCTTTTATAAATTTCGAAGACTACAATAATTGCATTAATCATTAAATTGCCGTTAAATAACCAATATTCCTAGCTATATCTCTCTTTTTTTTATTATCGGGAAAAACAAAATGTTCGATTTAAATGATGAGATTTTTGGCATTCCGCTCATTCGCCACATCAATATATTTGTATTCGACGTAGCGAATATATAGAAACAATTTCAATATTAAATTTATTATACGGCATTCGTTGTCGAGATGACGTGTTACTCAAATTAAAATTTTATTTTTGCCCTTACACTACGATGGTTTATTCAGGCTAACGCTTTTTCGAGAAAAAACATGCTATTGAATTGTTAAAACGGGATATTATACATCGGGGAAAAACATGATCATCATGTATAAACAAAGCAGAATGAAATACATGAATTAGAGCATTACAAAGAAAAATAAATAAATCTATTCCCGTTTTCTCACGATTTCGTTTCTCACGACAATTGATTCGTGCGAACTAATCAAAATTTTTTCTAGTGTTTCTCGTTTCTCGAATACGTGGCGAAATTATTACCTTTTTATAGCGTTCTCACTAAACAGGGTCAACAGATTTAATCGTTAAATTTTTCTCTTCGCTCAAAGATTACTATTATTTAATCAGAAATTAATTAATCACTTGTCACTTGACTGTAATTAAATGTATATATTATTTTACTTTCTCTAAACAAAATTCTCTCATCAAATATAAGGTTAATATTATTCGTTAAATTTTTTAAGCCTGTTGATTGGATGGAAAGATCCGAGAATCTTTCTGTTAAGCTAATTAATGCTTGAAAAAAAGAGAGTACAATATTCATTTTTTCGCTATCATTCGGGATTGTTTTATTTTTACATATACTTTTGTATTTTTCTTTTCTTTTTCTGTAGAAACCGAAAATTATAATAATGACTACACTCAAGGAAAAAAATTGGTACGTTAAAATAAAGAATAAAATCCTTATTTATATTATTATGAAATCGCTGTTAATTATGTATATATTTCAATCATTTGAAAACTAATTCAAAGTTGTTGATCCAACTCTCTCTCTCTCTCTCTCTCTCTCTCTTTCTCTCTCTCTCTCTTTTTTTTCTCTCTCTCTGTTAGAGATTTTTTAAAAATCGAAGGAAAATGGCGTACACTTAAAAAAAAGATTAAAATTTTGATAAAATTTTGAGCGGTTAATCGGAGATTCTTTCCGTCAGCCGAAAAGTCGGAGAGTCGTTTCAAAAATTGGAGTCTTCAACTAAAAACCGGAGAGGTGACCTCTATTTCATAACGACAGTAACGGATATCCTTTCATTGTCGTTGCGTAGGTTTCGTACATATATGGTAAAAAAGCTGCGTAACGACAATGTAATAGCATCGATAGTGGCATTAGAATTACAGTCGCTACTTAACGCCGTGATCTAACTTATAAAGTATCTTCTTTTCTCGCATCTATCATAGTTTGCGATTTCTCCGCGCGAACAAATCGAGAGTATCAGCACGAGCTGCTGGGCCATTTGTCATTTCATTACGACGGTCGTGAGGGAGAGAGAAAGAAAGCCGTCTAGCCGCCGTCGGCTTGGAAGACGGACGAGAAGACGTATTCGGTCAACCAGCTGCTCCTGGTGATTTGTCTGGAGCGTCCTATGCGTATATTATCACATCGTATTCACAGCTCGACATACGAATACACGATTTACGTCTTCAAATACTCACGATTTACGTCTTGAAATACTCACATTTGAACCACAAGAGGAAATAGCATCAACATATACAATAATGCAATACTCACACGAATCATGAGGATAATGGCGGTTGCGTCGTTGATCACGTTGATCGTCGGAACTTCGATGTTCGCCGCAATGATCTCGTAGTTGCTCGTACACACGGCATCGCGTTATCATGAGATTCGAGGTCACGAACACATGCGAAATAACATTGGATTATCTATAGATTACGTTTGTTTCACTACCGAAAACACGAAACAACAGCGAGCGCGCGCGACGCACATCCAACCGTCGTTTTACTTGCGTCGACTTCACTCGACCCCCCCCTATCATCGGCTCACTTCACACGCTTCGCGCGCTTTTCAATTTGAAAGTTACGCCGTGGGTTTCACGTGTTGTTTCAAGCGTAATTTGCCGCTTGTGCAATGAAGTGGTCAGTATTATGTGAAATTAAACAAATAATATTGAGAAAAAAAAGATTGTAATAAAATTTGTAAATAAAAAGAAGAATCTTATTTCTGATAAGCGAAAGAGAAAGTGATTTTTATGCATTTATAATTTAAAAACGGTGCATATTTATTCACTTTAATCCTAATATTGATATTAGAAGTAAAAATCTTTTTTTAATTACAAATTTTATTACAATTATTTCTCAATATTATTTGTTTAATTTCACGTAATACTGAATTCATTGCACAAGCGGCAAATTTCACTTGAAACAACACGTGACCCATAACTTCCAAATTGAAAAGCATGTGAACGTGTGAAGTGAGCTGTTAATAGGAGGAGCGAGGACGGACGCAAGTAAAACGAGTCATTCGAATATGCGTCGCGCGTGATCGCTGTTGTTTCGTTTGTTTTCGATAATGAAATCAACGTAATCTATAGACAATCCAATGTTATTTCGCATGTGTTTGTGATTTCGAATCTCAAGATGACGCGATGCCGTGTATACGAGCGACTACGAGGTCATTCCGGCGAACATCGTTCTGACGATCAACGTGAATCAACGCAATCGCCATTATCTTCACGATTCGTAAGCATTATTGTGTATGTTGGATGCCGTTTTCTCTTGAGTTCATACGCGAGTATTTCATGAGACGTAAATCGTATATTCGGGCATTGAACTGTGATAATATAAAAGGATAACTGTCTTATGGAAAAATTACTATTGAATATCACAAAAACATGTTGGAAATAATTAGAAAATATTATTTAATTCGAATATTGTACACTACTAATTTCAATGGATTTTTTATTAATTCAATAGTATTTTTTCATCAAAGAAATAAAAATGTTAGTTTAGAAAAAAATATTAATAAGTAAAAGAAATATAAAAGAAAAATTCTAATAATAGATATAAAAAGGAGAAAGATTTTAGACTTTTGTTTCTAACAAGAGAAAAAGCGATTATAGAGAATTTTGCATATGTTTTATGCTTTAATTTATTTTTATTCTTATCGCATATAAAAATATAAATAATGTATGGAGAATTAAATTAAGAACAAAATATAATATGTGCACATGATCAATATAATTTTTTTAAATAAATAGTATGTTCGAGGTATTCAGTATTCTAAAAAATAAATGAATAATGAATATGAACACGAATATGAATATATTTTTTATATTCATGGGAAATAAATAAACCTTTTTTTCAGTTTGAATGAATATATTTGAATGAATATGATTATGAATATTTTCGACTTCACACATTTTCTTCCACTATAAGCCTTTGACTACAATCACATTATTTAATATATTCCTTAGATTTTTCATTATCTGGTTAACTTGTGATTAAGCTTCTGATATTTCAAATAAGCTTCATCTATGACATCATATAGTCTATTGGATAAAATATCAGGTTAAGTCTAACTATAAGTTAACCAGATAATGAAAGTCTAACTATAAGTTAACCAGATAACCAAGCCTTAGTGAAAGTATCGACAATAACTTTCATTTTTTTCTCAGTATAATCATATTTTCCAAATTTTAACTAAGCTTGAAAGCCTTGTTGAAAGCAAAACTTTTTATGGACTGTATAAGCAATTAAACGATGCACTGAAAAAAGAGTTGCATTAATTGGAATTTTGATTAAAATTAAATAAATTAGAATTTTCTGATTAAATCTATTATAATTCTAGTTCAGATATACATATAAACTAGAATTCTAATATAATTAGAAGTTTGTCTATTCTTAATGTATTCACATTCCGAAAAATTGGCATTATATAAAATAATATTAGATAATATGTACTTATAAAGGATGTAAAGTGAAAATAGATCAAGAAATGTTCAATACATATGTGAGTGAGCCATATTCGATCAAAGAGGGTCTTGGTGTCTAATAATATTTTTGCATAAATTTTTGCAATTTTCAGTTCAATCAACTTGTTCAAGCAAACAAAAATATTATATATTATTAGACACCACGACTTACTTTAACCGAATATGGTCCTTTTCACTTATTTGTGTTTAAATATAATATTTATAGTTGTAAATTCGGTTGTACTTCTGATACTGTCCAAGTGCTAACATCTAAGAGGATAAGCAGCATCTATCGTCTTTAGCGAAGATGAGATATCTAACTCGAAGATTAACTTGACTAACCGTTGCTCTCGCGATTCAGAGCAATTTATCATGGTCGAGCGACAGCTGAAAGCTTCTACGACATTACTCAGTACTTTCTCTCTATCCTCTTCCTCTCCCTCCCACCCTCTCCCCCCCCCTCTCGTTCTCTCCTGCCTCTTTCTGTCACTTTTTTGTTCACGTTGGGCAGATTCATCCACAACTTTGATGTAGTAAGCCGACAAGGTGTATAGTCGCGAGATCATTACTCTGGAATTATCCGAATGCCCATAACTTCTCTTCGCTAAAACTCCGGCTCGCGAGGCCGAAATTCCGACTGGGGGAATTCCAGCGGCATTTTCGGGATTTCTCCGCTATTCGGCGGTTACCCCGCACCCGTAGTTATCTCGCTTCGTGGCCTACCTTGCATATCAGTAGGGGATTACGCGGGTACACGGTCTGCGTTCGCGTCGCGCGGTCGTCCGGCTATCCAGGAGTATAATAATTTGAGGATGAACTGCTACAAAGCCATCGGAAGTTGATTTCCGCCATATAAACACTCTCGCCAGACAATACCGGCTGCATATTGAAATAGTTACTATAGTAAACTATGTTAATACCTTATGTGTGATTTGAACTTACGTTAGTCTCAGTTTTCTATTATAGCTGGAAATAGTTATTTAACTATATTAAATGACACTTTCCATAGACAGGAATCTCCATATTGCTTTGTTTGGAATGCCCAAGTGAATTATTCGCGATACATTTACAAAAAACCTCTTTAGAGCATTAATTTCTTCTTCATAGGGTGAGCTTGCGGTTTTATTAAGCCATCCTTTATTCGCTGCGTAAAGTAAAACCACTACTACTCCACTTGAGAACCTCTCCAAGTAGTTTTTGCTTGGACGTAATTGGCAAGCCATTATCTATAACAAAGACATTACTGGATTTTCTGTCTGTGTTAAGACAATTTAATTAATTGAATCGGATCGAATGAATGGATATCAAACTGAAAAGTTAATAAAATGAACTAATAAAAATATTGAATAATAGAAATTTATTTATGTTAAAAATTGTGCCATTTCTATAGCATGTACGTAAAATATTGATACAAATTTAAATATAATTGTAACTTATTTCAACAAATTGAATATAAAACGCCTGGAAGATATTTAAATATTTGAGAGCATAGAAGGAAATTCTTAAATATGTTTTTAATTAAACCTTTTATATTTTACAAGTAATATATAATTTAAATATAACTCTTATTTGTTATGTATATAATTTCTAACAGAAAGGGGAAATTAAAAATTAAAGCTAATAAAATTTCTTTTGGTAACGCTAATATTTTTTAATAGAAGCGTATTTTTAGCAAACAAGCGAATATTAATAAGCGAGTGGAATGTTTTAATTAATATTTTTCAATTATCTGACTGTTATATGACTTTAGCAGACGATTTATAATGATAATGTAGGTAATTATGCATAATGAAATTCCATTCGAATCAAATTGTTGAGTTTGCTCGGTTGAATTATCCAGTTATTCTTTACAATCTTAAATAAATTTTAATCACATATTTATGTTTTATATTTGTATGCGATATAATATAAAAATATTATAACATACTCCAAAACATATTGTACATATATTTATATTTTGACATTATTAAATATAGAATAAAAATGTATTTTTTTTTATTTAATAAGAAGATATCATACCGTGTGTTTTATACATTAATAATTTTTGTATAAATGCAAATAATTGATAAACGTGTGATATTTTTGTTTCAGGCTGAAATATGGAGCGTCTTTATTGCGATTCTGAGAAAAAGTGTTAGAAATTTACAAGCATGTACGGATGTGAGTCTCATAGAACATGTTCTGCATCGATTATCTCGTGCGGAAACTGTTGTTGCCGGTAAGTAAACATTTCCAACGAGCATTATATTATCACTGATTGTAGAAATAATTTAATTTTCTAATATGGCAAAAATCAACAGAATACCATACACATTGACATTAATTACATATCACAACATAGAAACTTGTTACTTTTTTTTTATTATAATTAATTATATATCCTTTAATATACCTCTTTTAAATATTTTTGTATACTGTAACAGATTTGTTAATCGATATGCTGGGAGTGCTAGCGAGCTATAGCATAACGGTAAAAGAATTGAAGCTTTTGTTCGGTGCTATGAAATCCGTTAAAGGAAAGTGGGTAAGAACTCTTAAGATTTATTTGTAAATGAAATGAAAATTTGAATAAATATTATTGCAAGAATGTGTTCAATAGATATATTAAATGAATACATTACATACACTAACAACAAGATTACTAAAGTAGCATTTACATTTTATAGCCACGGCATTCGGCGAAACTATTAAACGTCCTCCGCCAAATGCCGCAGCGAAATGGGCCAGACGTGTTTTTCAGTTTTCCCGGCAAGAAGGGATCGGTAAGTTCTTTTCTTGTTCATCTTTACCTTAGAACAGATACTTCTTACTTTACGACGTCCCAGAGGACATCGTTCGATTCTAAACTCGATCAAAGTTCCGATAAAAGAATTTACCCTGCGTCGCAAGATTTTGCTACCAGCTTACATTTTTGAAATCAATCACGCTAAGAAACTTTCCTGAACGTTATTACTGCGTATATCGTTCAATCAATACATGCTCATTGTAACACGTCGAATGTTTTGATTTCAATATTAGATTTAATACAACTCAAACATTTTTTATTATATATTTAATATCATATTATGTATAATATAATTATCTAATTTAATCCATATGGAAAAAAAAGAGTACTTATAGATAAGACGAATTTGTGGTTAATAAAAAGCAATAAATTTTAAAATTTTTGTTATCTAGATATTAATTTTCTCTTTAATTATTTGAAAAATGGTACTTGACATAGTTTGAATTAGTAATCTTAATGAAGTTTGCAAACTATATAAAGTTATAAGCTGCCCTACTTGTTATAAGATGTACCGTACTAATAACGTCGAGCAACAATATATAATGACAGTTTTTCTTCTTTTTTTTTGTATCTTCATTTTATATTATTCTAATTATATATTTCTTGTATATTTACACATATTTAATTAATTATATTATTGAAAAAACACGTGCATATTATAGAGCCGTAGTTAAGCATAAATACATCAATAACTAGCATCGTTATAATTTTGCTTTTTGCTTCGTATATTATAGCGCTCCGTAAAACAGCCTATGCATAATTATTAAATTATGTCAAATTATATACAATTCTGAGTTTCTATAATTTTTTGAAAAGCTTGTTGGAGATAAAGAGTTGAAAAAGCTTAATACATGAAATGTAATGAATATTGCATATTCTGTTAATGAAGATAAGTTAAAGTAATATTTGCAATAATCATTTCAAGAAACTAAAACTGAAATGGAAATAGCGTAATTTCCATTGTGCATTACTAATATTGTTTTATATTATTATTCATTTTACTTATGCATCAAATATCGTAAAAACGAAATAAAATAATAGAATATTACAAAAAATTATTAAATAAATAATTAGAAAATAAATTAAATAATGAATATTATATTTAATATTATGATGTTTCGCTGAAATTACATAAAATATTTTCATCATATCTTGTCTCCTACAGGCAATTGTTTTGCCGCCGCTTGCAAAGTGGCCGCACGAGAATGGATTTACCTTTACCACATGGTTCCGTCTAGATCCCATCAACTCTGTTAATATCGAACGAGAAAAACCGTACCTCTACTGGTAAGTGCTTCCACATCAAGTACCCTTACGAAAGTACTCTCTCCAAGTAGAGCGATAGCCTTAAAGAACGAGGGACGAAGATTAAGGGACGAGAAACGGAAAACAAGGGACGGGGCGAGAGACAAGGGACGAAGGTCTAGAGAGGAATAAGAAACGAAGGGATGATATACGAAAGGATGAGGAATAAGGGACAAATAGATGAGGGATGAGGAACGCGGGACAAATGGATGAGGGATGAAGGGATAAGGGACGAGGGATGAGGGATAAATTTTCGAAAACTTCGAGGAAAGCACTCAGATTGGACTTATTAAGCGTGATTCTATCAATATACATTTGTAAAATGATATTTATATAGTAATAAACGATTATTTAAGACCATATAATGTGAATGCAACAAGTAAAGGGCCTATAACGATCGAAGATCTTAGGTTCTTAAATATTTTCATGTGAATTTATATGTAGTCATTTGAACCGAGCACCGAATTGATTTTTCGGACTTAAAAACAATCGCAACCGAACTACAGTAGTAATATCACAAATTAAACTGACACGTAATTTAATAGTATGATGCTCAATTGACATTTTAAGAAAATCTTAATGTACCGAAAATCTATAAATAAATTATTATATTTTTATTTTAAATTGTCTTGCATTTTATTTTAATTTTATTTTTTTATAGAAATAATTTTAATTATTTTACATATATAAAATTTTCACTATTTGTTTTTATAATAATCATGTTTTCGTATATTAAAATAAATTGATAAAAATATAAGCACATTTAAGAGTCTAATGAGATAGATTTATTAAAGTAACATTTCTCTTTTATTATTTTAGCTTTAAAACAAGTAAGGGAGTAGGATACTCTGCACATTTCGTAGGCAACTGCTTAGTCCTGACTTCAATGAAAATAAAAGGCAAGGGCTTCCAACATTGTGTCAAATACGAATTTCAGCCACGAAAGGTAGACTATTAAATATTTAAATTGATTTATATTGGTGTACACCGAAAATTTTTATATGCTATACGAGAAAAATATTTTTGTTTTTTTTTATAGTGGTATATGGTCGCGATAGTGTATATATACAATAGGTGGACAAAAAGTGAAATTAAGTGTTTGGTCAATGGCCAGTTGGCGTCGAGTACAGAAATGACATGGCACGTTTCGACGAATGACGTGAGTGTTGTCCGCAAATATATTTTATATTAATAATTTTCTTTTGCCAATGATGATTTAAAGAAAAAAAAATGGTAACGTCATTTTACAGCCTTTTGACAAATGTTACATTGGAGCAACCCCCGAACTGGACGAAGAGCGCGTGTTTTGCGGACAAATGAGTGCAATATATTTATTCAGCGAAGCGCTGACAACGCATCAGATATGCGCGATGCATAGATTGGGACCGGGATATAAGGTATGCTATAACACTTCTCACTCTTTCTCTCTGTATCTGTCACTCTCTATTTTTTACCGTTGCTACGTGCTATAGATATACATGTATGAATCGTTAATCAAACGCTGATATTTTCTACTTTATATTTGTGAACGAATATTCATCATCGCTTTTACGATCCACGTGCAGAGCCAGTTTCGTTTCGACAATGAGTGCTACCTGAATCTGCCTGACAATCATAAAAGGGTGAGTGAGCAGGATCTCTCTACGAGCATGGTGGACCAAAGTATGCAAATTGTAAGCATTTTGATTTTATTTTTCCGTTAACATATGATTTGTATTTTGTTAATTATTCTGTTACTGCGTTCGAGTTCATCTAAGGTAATTACCCAATTACGATCACTGATTTTCTTGATGGTCACTGCGATTGATAAGTTTATCAATTCGTTTGATATTTGTTTTGGAAAAGTTGATTTATCTGTGACTATGAATCTTGCATTATATCTATTATATTAATAAAATACATCTATTTTTATGTTTATTTTATTTTTTTTATTGTTATTTCTTTCTTTACTGGAATGCCTTTCTTAGTGAACAGATATTGCAGAACGAATTTAGTAATGTGCAAAGTACTTTTGCTGTAAGCATCTTTACATACATTATACATCGTATAATTTTGTTATACGATTTCGTTTGATGTTAATCGGTATCCTGTAATTAGTAGTAAGTAGCAGTATAATTATGGAGTAGTATTGAATTATTGCTTTCGAGTATGTGGTTTCTGTGTATTTATTTATATTATGTAGTTAGTATCCAAGATGTTTACATCCTGGTAAGATTGAATAACGTAATGCAGTATATTTTAATGTAATGCACTTATATTATAGCATAAATATATTGTAAATTACAATAAGTATTGAAAATTTTCTGCGCAGAAGATTTATTATTAATTTATTACTTTATATATAATATTCCAGGTACTTTACGACGGAAAATTATCGAATGCAATTGTGTTCATGTACAATCCAGTAGCGACAGATTCGCAGCTTTGTCTACAGAGCGCACCGAAAGGCAATGTCTCTTATTTTGTACATACACCGCACGCCCTCATGCTACAGGTATAATTTATTCAATTCAGAGATTTAATACTAAATATACAGAATTATAATATGCTTTTTATTTACTTTTATTTTAAACATCGCCGTATTGATAGAAAAGTGACACATCTCAAAATTAGCAACTTTTCAGCAGAGTATTTTTTAAATATTATTTCTGAATTGGAACAATATTTAGAACAACTTCACTTTTTTCCATGTTAGATTTTTAATTATAAAATATTATTTGAAAAATTATTTCATGAATTTTCAAAAGATCAAAAGTCAAACACTATAATCGTAATATAGGATTGTGTATATTTGATCTCTTATTAAAATTGTGACATTTTTTTCATTTAACCAATATATTGACAAATACCTACGTTGTTTTTTCACAAAATATGTTAGTCTTTAGGGAGGTTGATTTTCTTTCATTATTTCAAAAATGCAATTTTTTTATTCATGTCACTTTCTGTCACTTTTTTAAGCAGTGATGTAGAATAAATTATAAATATGCATAAAACAAATGTGTAAAATAGGTAAAAAATTTTTGTGTTTTGACTTTCAGGATGTCAAGGCAATCATAACACATTCTATTCACAGCACATTAAACTCGATAGGTGGTATTCAAGTACTGTTCCCATTATTCTCCCAGCTGGATATGCCTTATGACTGCATAGCGCCGAACGACATTAAGCGCGATCCCACATTATGGTAAAGCTTTATTAATAGTTATCGCTTTGGAAAGTTATGCATTTAAATAGAAGGAATTTACAAGAAACATTGACATCATTTTTCAGTTCGAAATTGCTCGGGTTTATTTGCGACTTGGTGGAGAGTTCTCAAACCGTTCAGCAACATATGGTACAAAACAGAGGATTTTTGGTAATAAGTTTTATGCTACAGAAAGCCAGTCGAGATCATCTCACGACGGAAGTTCTTGCATCTTTTTTGGAGCTTACGAAACATTTAGTGACTTGTCTTAGCGCAAACAGTGATTTATTATTGAAACAGGTACCGATCTATTAACAAATTATTATTTGTTAGTATTTATTAGACGTTTCAATATGATGAATACAACAATATGTTTATAGTGATATATGCAGTTAAGATAATTGCATTTACCGTTATTTGATGTAATTTTAACTAAAGAGGATATACAAAATATATACATATATATTAAATTTTTTAAATTATAATTTTAATATATTATATTTGATTCAATTTGCAATTATCTTAACTATGACAATAGTGTAAAATGCTTATTAGATTTAGAAAAATTAGAGTAAAATCCCTACAATATAAAAATTAAGTAAAACAATTTTTATAAAAGATTTGAAAATAGAATAGAAAATTGTTGATAGAAAAAACAAAATTATTAATCATTGTAGATTATGTGTTTAATATTATTAATTGTTGATTAAGTTTTTCGTAAACTAAAAACTCTTCATCCATGCACATCTAGCTGTCTCTTTTCGTCTATAGATGATTTTGTTTATCCCTGCATGGATTCCATTTGGTTTAATTTCGTTAAAATGTTAATATCGATGTATCCTATTCCTTTAATTTACGTTATCATCTCTACTATGTAATGTAATAGCTTCCACGCTTTCATCGCAATTGCTCCTATCAAAATGTTTGCAAATATCCTACGTATATATTAATGTATGTGTTTGATATGCATTTCCGTACTATTGAGATTTTGTTAAAGACTCTTCAACAATCCCATTACGAGCATGCCTACTCGCCTTCTTCGATCAATTATTGTGCTATTTAAACTTCGGATCGCATGTAATCTACCGACTTTTGAGCTTCCTAATTTAAAAGAAGTGGCTACGCAAAGTATTTTGTTCATAATGTCGCTTTTACATCAAAATTCATAATTCTTATTTTGCGACGCTAAGAATCTTCATCTATCTCTGCTACATCATGAAAAGTTATGTTATTTCTATCTTCAAATATGCACTATCATCAAAATCCTATCACATGGTATATTATTTTTTGTCACAGGTTGTCCCAACGGCATAATTAATTATATTATTTAATTAAATACTAATCATACATTTAATACATGATTAATTTGTTTGCAATTTAATATTAATGTAATATAATATTAATATACTATATTAATACACAAAATCGATGCATTCCTTGATAACTCATCTTTTGCAATATAAAATAATTATGTTAAATAATATTTATGCAATTAATTGAATCATATAGCATTTTCCGATTTTCAGAATACGTATATATGTATTATACATCCTAAATTTAAGTTTCGATATTATTCCTCGAATTTTTTCCAATTGATATAAATGCACGAATATCCATTTGCACTATGTTTTATGTTACGTTTTATATTCATGTAAATCACTAATTATTGTTGCTCGTAACAGCAATACTATCTGCACTTTATCTACCATCAATTCTAATTATTTCCGTAAGCTCAATAACTCGTATTTGATATTTGTATATTATTTTTTTCTTTACACATGTAATCCGGTATTCATAGTTAGATCTTATATTTAAAACTGTCTTAAGTACAATCTTAAGATGTCATGAACCAATCAGAGAACTGTATTAGCATCTTAAGACATTACTTAAAACAGTTTTAAAATAACAATGGACTATGAATACTACCTATAGATTATTTTTTCATTATAATTTTTTCATTATTTAATATGTATCCAATAATATTTTAATTTATTATATTTTTTATTATTATTATATTTTTTACGTTGTATTTACATAAATAATTTATCAAAATTGAAATCAAATTGAAATCAAAGTATAAATTAAAATATAATAAAAAGATTTGTACATATTTATAAATAAACTTTAAATAATTAAATTGTATGGATTACATACATTAATGCAAATAAATTCAATGACATATATATGGCTCAGAAAAATATAAAAGTCGGCTAGATTGGTGTGTCCGAAGAACAGGCAGATCCATGGTGATGTAGTTGTTTTATTTTTCATTCCTAACATGGCAGCTACTGGATCACGTTCTTTTTAATCCCGCTCTATGGATATACACACCAGCGCCAGTACAAACACGGCTTTACTCGTACCTGGCTACAGAATTTCTTAGCGACACGCAAATTTATTCCAATGTGAGACGCGTATCGACGGTTTTGCAAACCGTGCACACACTCAAATACTATTACTGGGTAGCTAATCCTCGCGCCAAAAGTGGAATAACACCGAAAGGACTCGGTACGTTACCATACTTAATCAGTTAATGCAAATTCATCCTGAACTTTTAAAATGTAAAGTCTTACACGTTAATTTATTTTTGTGATAGATGGTCCGCGACCGCAACAGAAGGACATTCTTACAATTCGTTCATACATTTTATTATTTTTAAAACAATTGATAATGATCGGTAACGGTGTAAAAGACGATGAATTACAGAGCATACTTAATTATTTGACGACAATGCACGAGGTAATCTTAAATAATAATGTAATCATGTAAAGTAATTATTTATTGTTAAGAATATTTTTTTTAATTTTCAAACCATTTTTAGGATGAAAATTTACATGATGTTTTACAAATGCTGATATCTTTGATGTCGGAACATCCGTCATCGATGGTACCCGCATTCGATGCGAAACAAGGAGTACGAACGATTTTCAAGCTTTTGGCAGCTGAAAGCCAGTTGATACGTTTGCAAGCGTTAAAACTGCTAGGATTCTTCCTCAGCCGCAGTACACATAAGTAATTCTCTTCATATAGATAATTTATATATTAAAATATTAAAAAATTAAAATCTTTAAAAAAGATACTAATATAATAATATTATTTAATACACACAGACGAAAATACGACGTCATGAGCCCGCATAATCTGTACACGTTATTGGCTGAAAGGCTCTTATTGAATGAGGAAACACTTTCATTGCCGACATACAATGTTTTATACGAGGTACGTATATTTTATCTCTAAAATAATATTTATTTATTAAATAAATTAAATTTTTATTTTAAATGTTTAATTCTAGATTATGACTGAGCACATCAGTCAACAAATATTGTATGCCAGACATCCTGAACCTGAATCTCACTACCGTTTAGAAAATCCGAGTAAGCTGAAAATCTGTAATAGATAAATAAATCAAACGTTTCTTGTATATTAATCTGTCAATATCTCTTTCAGTGATCCTAAAGGTAGTGGCGACATTAATTCGACAATCAAAGCAAACGGAGCAACTGCTAGAAGTAAAGAAACTATTCCTGTCAGACATGACGTTACTCTGTAATAACAACCGGGAGAATCGGCGAACAGTTTTGCAAATGTCTGTGTGGCAGGAATGGCTTATTGCTATGGCTTACATCCATCCCAAAAACACCGAAGAACAGAAGATATCAGATATGGTGTATTCCTTATTTCGTATGCTTCTTCATCACGCTATCAAGCATGAATACGGTGGCTGGCGTGTTTGGGTTGATACATTGGCTATCGTACATTCTAAGGTAAGTTCGCGAGATATCGCTTAGGAAAGGATTCTAATACATTTTGATATACATTTGATATATACAGGTATCGTATGAGGAATTCAAGCTTCAGTTTGCCCAAATGTACGAGCATTACGAGCGACAGAGATCCGATAACATTACGGATCCTGAGCTAAGACAGCAGAGGCCGATTAGCACAATTTCCGGATGGGATCAACAGCATTCCGGGAGTAACGGATACAATAGACCAGCGGTGTGGGGAAATCAAAATCACGAGATACAACATATGGAAAGAAATTACAAAGTAATTTAAAATTTAATACGAGTAATTTTAAATTTTACGTAGGCGTATAAAATGTCATACACAATTTTGTTTATATATTTATATTTAATAAAATTGATACAAAACTATTATAAAATTAATTAAAGTCTAAAAATTGGATAATTAAATAGTATGACATTTTTTGTGTGTCATCCAATTATTTTTCCTTCATTTTATGCCCTTTACAATTTTCTTTATATTGTATATGGCTATGTGGCTCAATACTTTTTGCCAATTTAAGATGATGCATTCAACAAATTTAATTATTTATTTATTGCTCTCAATAATATCTTGTATTGTAATGCAGGAGTTTGATTCATCCGAGGCAAATGATCGATTGGAAGAATCCTGCAGTTGCGATCTTAATTCAATAGATAATACCGAAAGCGACGGTAGTCCGGCCATCGTGAAATCGCGCAGCGAAACCTTGGACACACTGCAATCGTGTGAGGTAGTGTCATTGGACTCGCGATTGAGCGATAAACCAGAAACACCAACTACCGCGCGTGAGACTCACACGGAGACACCAACGATCCTTGAGGAAGCAAACAGCGAAGCCGTCTCGTTGCCAACTACGCAAGAAACCAGCGAAGTGATATCGATTGAGAGCTCCAGCGACTTCTACAGTGAGGTGCACAAAATCGAGAGTTCCAGTCCCGACTCGATGATAGTTCAAGACACTTTGAAAAAGGAAGAAGACACAGTTCTTGAGAAACAATCTGTTGCTGTTACCGAATCCTCTTCAACCGAACAGATTAAGGAAACCACGGAAGTGACAGCTGTCGTCGAATCGAAAAACTTGAAGGAAACTGTGACAGATACAAATATTCCCGACACGGTTTCCACAACAGTGGACAAAGTTGATAATCCATCGGTTGAGGATAGGGAAGTGAAGGAGGAGATTGCCAAGTCTGTCGAGGAGAATAACGTTACGACCGATGATAGTAATACGCCTACTAACACTGAAGATTCCGACAAAACTGCAGCAGTAATCGAAAATGCGGCCGACTCTGTTGCTTTAAAAGCCGACGCCGACACTGAGGAAGATACCGTGCCAATTGTCCCTTCTGACGAAACGCGAGAACCGCTAACGGTTAAAGTTATCGAGAAACTCCAATTGGAGAACGACCGCGAAATAATTGATAGCGATACATCAGAGGCGTACTTGACGCCAACTGAGAATCAAGAAATCTCGAGCGAGATAAAAAGCAGAACGTCCGAAGGTGAGAAAAACGATGATGAGACTGTCGAGAAGAAGGACATTTCCGAAGACAGGGACATTACCACTGAGACTGGTGAGAACGACGCAGGGGAAACTGTAAAAAATCCTAATTGCTCAACTAGCATAGTAGAAAGCGGTGAGGCTTGCGCGGAGAAGGCGGTAGATCTAGGAAGCGAGAAGGTGGAGCCCGTAATAGTGAATAGTGCGTTAAGTAGTGATGAACGCGCTGTGGATTCTTTAACGGAGGACAAAAGTGCTGTTATTAATGATAACGAAGACGCGAAGGTAAACGAGAAACACTCAAGGGAGCCGTCCACTATTTCTACTAGCGTAAGTGATAATAAGTCAGACGTTCCGGTGACGACTGACGAGGTAGAAGTTACAGATAGTGTTTGTAGTAATAGCGACGTTCAAAGTTCTGTAGATAATATGACGCAAGTGCCAAATCCTAAGCAGCAAATCCCAACAATATCTACGGTCTGTGATGCAACTAAAAGTTTATCCGACGGTGTGCCTCAAATCGTTAGTTCTAATGTGGTTGCCAGGGACAATGCGTTATTGAATGACTTAACTCCAGATCACGTAGATACCCACCGCAGATCCAGCCTGCCGATCGTCACTTCGGAAACGATCGCGGACGATAACGGTCACGAGCCACCCTCCTTGCCTGTACCCTTACGAAAGACATCGTCGCCCCAAAAACGACCAAGGAGTGCCTCTACGTCCACGCAGGTGGATCCTAATCATTTCGGTGAGTTACAAAATTAATCCGTGCCGTATTAATAAAAGTGCGTCTATATTTTTATATATTCTTTTTATCGCAGAAGCCAAAAGATCAAAGCAAGGAAATCCCTCCACGCGACCAATGTTTAGTCCAGGCCCGACACGACCTCCCTTCAGAATACCGGAATTTAAATGGTCATACATACACCAACGACTACTATCGGACGTGCTATTCTCTTTGGAAACAGACATTCAAGTATGGAGAAGGTAGGATATACAATGCTGCACACATATATGTTAACGATATATCAATTGTGTCGGAATATTCTACGATAAGTTTTGTATTACAGTCACTCAACGAAGTCCGTATTGGATTTTGTGAACAGCAGTGAGAACGCGATTTTCGTGGTGAATACTGTTCATCTAATTTCGCAGTTAGCCGACAACCTTATAATAGCTTGCGGCGGTTTGCTGCCCTTATTAGCGTCGGCCACTTCGCCAAATGTACGTAAATTGTTCTGGTATACTTGATTAAAGAAAAAAAAAGATATTTTTTCGATCTTAATGTTTAATCAACATTTTATTGCATTTAGAATGAACTGGATGTAATCGAGCCAACTCAGGGGATGCCAATTGAAGTGGCAGTTTCTTTTTTGCAAAGACTAGTCAACATGGCCGACGTACTTATATTCGCCAGTTCATTAAACTTTGGAGAACTGGAAGCTGAGAAAAACATGTCGAGTGGTGGCATATTGCGACAATGTTTACGACTGGTTTGTATTATCTTGCATAAGGTATTTTATCGATACAGAATGAAATGATAAATCTCGTTAGAATAGTTAGATATAGTTATTTTTGTATTATTATACAATTTATATGGCTAACTAATTTTAACAAATCATTTGTCAATTTAGGAAAATATATTAAATATTAGTGCACAATGTGTGTTTGTATGCACTTGACGAAATATAGAATTTACAATATACCAAGTTCAGTATAGAAAGAAACTTGTAAAAGTTTATGTCGATATCAAGTATTTTCTTAAGTTTTGCTTTATACAATGTTACATGTGCAATTAATTTTGAAGAGAATTCCCGTATAAAAATATCTAAATTGCGACTTAATAATCGATGAATGATGTGGTTTTAGTGATCCACGAATGAAAAAGTGCAGTTGCAATAGTAATTGTATCTTTATTTATGTTTATTTTAGTGAAAATATATACATATACATAATACTTGTGGCATGCACATGTCAGATTGTACAGTACAGATTACACTTTAAAAATACAAAATATAGGGAAATGTAGTGAATAAAATTTACATGAATTTATAAATCTATTCTATATTTACGTGAATAAAAAATTTTAATAAAAAAATTTTAATTTAAATTCGCTCTTTCGATGTAAATTATAACATAACATTTTTGACAAATGATTATAAAGACTTATAATTTTAAAAAAATTGAATATTTTATCTATGAGTATTTGATATGAAAAATTGACGAGTAAGTTCACAATTAATTAAATGTAACATATTTATAATTGTAATCTCTAAAAAGTACAATTAATTCAAATATTCTTAGTTTTGTACAAATGTTTTTCATTCTCAATCCTAATGTTTTAGCTTCTAACATATGCTCCAGTTAGAAATTTAATATGTACATTTACACAACATTTTTTGTTATATTCACCTAATAAACTGCTTCTATAGGTCTGTACATGTGCCGTTAGAAACTGCTTAGAGTGTAAAGAACGTGGCAGATCGTACAGCATGTTAGGTCGGCAGATTGGTTCTAGTAATAAATCACAACATATACAATCGCTTATACGCGGGGCTCAGACATCGCCTAAGGTACGTTTTATCCGATCAAACTCATTTTAATGATTATAGCATCATTAATAGATGCGATAAACATGTTATATTTTTTTCTTTAATTTCTATTTATTAAAAAAATGTAATTAATAGTATTACATATTGTATCAAAATATTCTTTATTTATATAGAACATCGTGGACAATCTCACGCATCAGTTAAGTCCTGTGAAGGATCCCGAGAAATTACTGCAAGATATGGACGTAAATCGTTTGAGAGCTGTGATATACAGAGATGTTGTAAGTATCCGATATTTCATATAGAATGATAAAGTAAAATGATCGTATGTATGTATAAGGTAAGAAAACTAAGTCACGTACACGTTAATTTCAGGAAGAAACCAAGCAGGCACAGTTTCTGTCCCTTGCTATAGTTTACTTCATCTCTGTGTTGATGGTCTCCAAATATCGCGACATATTGGAACCGCCAATATCGCAGCGCCCACCAAGTCCAGTGCAAACAATACAGACAAATGGTGCCGGTCTCAGGCCAGGTAGCCCTTCAGGTGAGATCTCCATATCTTATTTACTAACCGATCACTATAATAGTACTAACACTAATCCAAAAAATAATCTGTGTAAATATCAATACACAAAATTCATTGATTGTTTTTAATTAATGGATGAGAGTAATATTAGATATATCTTACAATTTACAAATAATACAAAATATACTATAAAATACTATGTACAACAATTTTATAAAAAATTATTTTTTTTCGGAGTATTTAAATTATTTATTATGCTGGGTATGCACTCTGCAAAGAACTTATAAAAATATTTATTATACAAAGAATAATGCTATTCCATGTTGATAACATAATACTTTTATGCTTTTCTACATAATTTAAAATTTAACATTTATAATTGTGATTATTAGATTATATCATCTATTACGGAAGAAATTATTAAAAAATTTTAAAAAGAAAATGCATTAATTTTAATATTATAATTATATGCACGTTGAATATTAACACTTCCCTTAAAAAGTTAAAAATTTTTAAGTTAAAAATTCTTCTATTTACTCAAAACTCTTACATGTCAGATATATATTCTCTTATCTTTTGTTTTAAAAAAGTTATAATATATAAATAAATCCAATTCAATTTATAAATTAATTGATAATTTTGATATTACAGCATGACTGCAGCTATATAAATATCTAAACGAGAAACTTACAATGTATATCTTGTAAAAATATTTTATCTGCTTACTGTTTAGATAAAATTAAATTTATATCTTTTCCGAAATTTTTTAATTAACATTGGTACATACATCGCTTCTATAAAATTATTATGCAATTTTCATTAAGTTTCACAGATTAACTGGCTAAAAAATTTTCTGTCACAGTAATGTTGTAAATGAATGAAATATGATGAATGTTATAAATTGCATATATGTAGCTAATATGTTCAACACTGTGCACCAAACGATGTAGCTGCAACTTGTAAGACAACAGCACATGACACCAAGTAGAAAGCATGTGTTATTGCACTGTATGAAGTAAACATTTTATATGTATCTGACAGTGAGAGTTTTGATGTTTGCCGAATGTGTTTGCACCTTTTTTGCGTTACGAATATACTTACGTCATTATACTTATCGTTGTTGTATTCTCTTGGATGTGGAATTTCTTTATGTGGAAAATTAAAGAAAAACAAATATCGTTGACTGTTACACGATTGTGTGAAATAAGTTCTTTTAGAATGTAATACTCCAATTGTTACTGATATTACAAACATTGATATAGAACTTCGAATCGGTGTAAACATTATTATATTGGTGTAATCACACATTATTTCGATGAAAATAATAATATATTATTATTTTCACCGTTATTTTAATTTTTTTTTGTTAAAATTTATATTATGTTACAAATTAGAAATAAAAATTATTAATTAAAAATTGTTAGCAATTTTTAAGAAATAATACATATTTAAAATAATACAAAATGTTATTTACTGAATTTCACTCTATGAATGTGAAATAAATACTTAATAGTTTTTAAATGTTTTTTTTTGTAATTTTTAAATGTATATAACAAAAGTTTGCTGTAATAAGTGTGTGTGTGTGTGTGTGTGTGTGTGTGTGTGTGTGTATAAAACAATAAGAAAACTATATATCATATATACATATAATTTTTTATTAGAATTTTATAATAAATTTAGAATTTTATAATAAATTTTGGATATTCTAAATTTTTTTTATTTCAAATAAGTTTTTAGTGATAATTGTTTTTAAACTGTCGAAATAAACAACTACTGTGTATATGTTGCACTGTATAATTAATATTTTGGAAGAATATTGATAATTTGTTATAATTTGTTATAACATCAAAAATGGGAGCTTCAAGATGAACAGATGTTAATTGTACTGTTTATTCGCAATTTTATTAAACACAATTGCATAGAGTGAAGAACAGTATCAAAAATGCTATGGATCGCGAGCGATAAAAGTGTTTGCGCACGACCGGATAACGTGGTAAATGTGGTTCCTCGGCAGATGGGAATGGTGGTGGAGGAGGGCGGCCCTTATTTCCACAGTGGTCTCACCACGTGTACCCACAGTTCCTCCCGGGATCTCACCCTAACGCCAATGCAAATGTCAATGCCAATGCCAACCATCACATCAACCAGCACCACCACCAGCACCCGCTACCGGCTGCCAGGCACTCTAATCGCCAGCCATCCTCTAATTATTATCTCCCGAATCACCACAATAATCACTACAATCATCATCCGAATAACCATAACTATCATCGCCATCACCACTATCATCATCACAATAACAACAACCACCACCATACGCTTCAAAAGCATATCGATCAGCCCCGAAATCTCTGTCATAGAAACTCCGGTGTCGGTCTGCAAGGTAACTCGAAAACCCGAAAGTTGTTTCACGGAATGCCCAAGTTCTTCTGGCCTGATTTATTTCGCTTTATTTTTATTTATCCATTAACTTGCACGACCCGCTTGTCAATATCAACGAGTCTATACACAATTTTCTCGATGTTTCTCTTGCTGTACCAACGCAACCGGCTCTTTCTGCACTACAAAATTTATTATTTAAATTATCTTCAAAAAATATATATTTTACGATCGACTACAAGTTTGTTTATTAAAAGGAAGTTTGTTTAATTAACTCGTTCGTTTTCTCCTTTCGCTTCTCACATTTCATTTATATGTATTAAATATCTAATCTGATTTAATTTCTTGTTTACTTTTATTATTATTAAAATCAAATATTTATTAATTACATTGTTTATTTAATAATTTTCTAACAGGTTCGCATTGCATGCCATATACAAAGCTAGCAGTTACTTCGAACTTACAGCATATTGTTGCGTAAAAAATCAATTTAATAATTGTTCCGTTCTACAGCATGTGGTATATGTAGGTATTTCAGTGACGATAAAGCGCATCATATTTTATTAATACAAATCAAGACATGCATGAACATAATGAAGATGTCATCCCTTAAAAGTCAATGCGATGTATGACATAAAATATGCGTATTTATTCAACAAATAATTCGCTATTATTGAACAAAATGCAATAGTCCCCGAATTTGATGTATATTTTTATCATTTTATGTAATTTATATTTTACAATTAATGCTTTTCATTACTCGATAAATATATTTAAGGAACACTGGCTACTCTGAAAATTAGAATAATAATATTTATATAATTAAATATATCCTATTAAATGCTCTATATATATATATATATATATATATATATATATATGTGCATATAAAAAACTAAGTATAATAAAAGCTTGTGTTTCTTAAGGTTCGAGTAACTGAAGAATTGAGATGTCTGTTGTGTGCTATGATTTATTTTGCAGCAATTTTGTGCAACCCTTTACGTAAAACAAACAAAGAAGAATGTTTTGTGTATTTTCGTTTTTGATGTACCTTGTGGATTTCATAAGTTATTGGTCTTGTACATTTTTTACATTGGCAAACTGTGAATTTTATTTATAAATATATAAATGAAATCTTTCAATTACATAATATCGTTGAACGCATGTATATGAATATCAACTGGCTTAGCAAGAAGAAAATGTTTTTATATTTATCGATTTTTCATATCATATTTTAATCATGTGTTCTCAGGTAGTGGAGGTATAATGAGTCAATCTGGCTCTCAGGATGATGGCGAGTATGAAGTCATCATCGTCGACGAGAACAATTCTTCAATTTTGGCCGATCATGACGTCACATCGTCTGGACCGCCGTCAACCAAGGTAAGTTAGTTTCGCGGAAAAGTTGCAATTTATCCGAAATTTCAATGCGAAACTGAAAAGTGCAACGGACATTTGTTCTCTACCAAACAAATTCAAAAGAAGTGTGAACATCGAGAAAAATTGAACTGAAAATCTCAGGTAAAAGTTTTGTAAAGTCCGTCACATAAAACGCAATCTGATAGTGACAACATAGTCTGATTGGTATAAAAACGAGATAGTTCTACAAAGTTATAACAATTTTGTATTACTTGAGACTGCATGCATTTCGATAGATCAAGAACGTAGACACGATGATTCGATGTTTCTGTCGCTTTATACAGCTCTACGTAGCGAGTACGATATGCGGGTCTTTCTTTAAACTAAAATTCAACTCCATTTCTTTCAATACTGTCCTGAGTATCTTTCTCTTTATGCTCGATAGTTACAAATAATATTCACAGCAGCGAGACTTTAGCACTCTTCCATCACGCACGATCTTATGGGATATCCACCGCAGTAATGACCATATAATTTGTGCTATCGCACAATGCTTTGCACTAATTTATCACGTGTATTATTCGTCTTGCGATGACGACTTATCAAATTTTTACTTCAAAATATTGAACATGTACTGTGTAATTACAATAGATCAGTTCATTCATAGGTAGCTACATTAGATTTACACGTATTAAGACTCTTGACAAGGTAAATTTACATTCATCCTTAAATATTGATTTTAAATTAGCACAATTTTACGATTATGATATATTTTTATTATCAGTTCCTATTTTATGACCCTCAAGTGTAGTATTCGATAGTTGATTCTCCTAATACAATTACGTGATTTCGAGACCTGTAGTTGATGATCTCTTGTAATGCCTAGCATGTAGTGTTCACTTATCGATTGATGTCTTGCATCTACGTAGTCCCAGCGTAACGACCGTTAGCTCAATTGTGATTTCTCATAACTATCTCTCGTAACTATCTCTCGCACGTAATATCTATATCTCATTACGGATTCTCTTTGGAAAATCGGCATTATCAGAACAAAACCCCAATCCGCGAAGTTCAAACATGTAATCGCACTTCCGAAAGTTAAACCACTGTATTTATCTGTAATTCTATCGAGCATGCGATACTCTGACTCTCGAATTTCTCTCATTGTTAACTTCCTCTGCTTGCATTGCTATGCGTACTAACTACTGGTTCTGAAGGGAGGTCACAGTGGTGTACCTCGGCCGCGGACTATTCTCGAGGATTACACCTCATCAGAACCAACGCTTGGCACTTCTACAAGGTCCGAACCACTGCCACGAAATCTGCAGGTAAAACTTAATTTGAGTACAGATCCGGATGTGTGGAGGACGTTGACGGGAGCTCGATTCCCGAATTATGTCACCGCGACCGGTCGCGTTTTGGGAGCGATCAGATAAATGTATTTTTAATTGTTTTAAATTTTCTCACTCCGTAAAAAGAATGCGAGAGGATACGCAACGGTACAATAATGCCCATTTGACGGGTGCAAGAAAGAGAGAGCGATATATATATATATATATATTTTGATTTATATCTTTTTGGATGCTTATGTAATATTGATATAATGTAAAGTAGCGGTCCTTACACGCGTATATAACTTTGATCTTATACTAGAATTAACAAGTTCGCTAACGAAGCTTGAATACAGAGAAGCTTGGTTCTCTTTCTTTCTATAATATATTAGTTGATTGCGTAGTAATGGTGTACTATTAATTGCATGTAATGAAGTAAGTACATGGCACGCGAGAGTATATCATGAAGTGTGATTGTATGAAATTATCTTATGAAATGTTTTTGTAATAAAATATAGCTCTATAAACTTTCATTAGTAATTGACTTTAGCATCGTAGTGAGATTCCTAGGCCTGGAAATACGTTATATCTGATTAGTTTTACATAGTAACGATCATTAAAAGGAGTTCCGTGTTAATCTAATAAAATTCAGCAGTATGAAAAAATAAAAATGCTTTTAAATATTATCGTTTTATATATTGGTTAAAAAATCATTTCTGTTTTATTATAAAAATACATAAATCTTTGATTCATGAATCTTTAATCAATTCTTTCTATTTAAAATATATCAATATTTTTAAAATAATTTACGATTGATTTTAATTGAAGTAGAAAACATTCTAATGTTTCATTCTTGCCTTTATTTTAATCGACTTTCTCTCAGAGCAATGACTCCAGTGAGGAGACAGTACATCGCAGCAATATCACTGCGGATCCGAGTCCTTCTGAAGTTACCACCGACAACGAAAACAAGCACAATTCTTCCGAAGAAGCCTGGACAGATGTAAATCTTAATGAAGACGGTGATACGATGCCTATTACAAATCCAAGAGAAGATCCGCGTAATATCCACAATATTGCACACTCGCGTGGTAAGAGTCAAATCAGTTATGGTACCATCACTTGTGATTGATAATACAGTTCATAAGATTTCTGTTTCTCAACATCTAAATAGTGATTCTTATGTGTTTTTGAGCTGCTGATGAAAGTAAAAAGTCCTTTGGGTTTTGAGAAATCAAAGACTTTTATTTTTAAAAAATACTACAAATTTAAATTCGTTTTTTATAACTTTTTTTGCAATAAAAATCGCAATTCAAATGTTGAGAAATAGAAAACTTGTAAATCAATATAATTTTTTGACATTAAATATTACTTATCAATAAATTTTATTTTTTTTAATCACTTTACAACTTTATATCACTTAAACTTGTATATAAAAGGAGCTTCATATCTAACATTTATTTTCATGTATTGTAAAAAAATATTTAAATTTTTTATAATTATATTACGAATTTTATTACATATTAAATTGAAAACAAATTTTTAAGAATTAAAAGGTGATTGAATTTTTTGGAGAGTATAATTCTTTTTTAATAAAAAGGTTTGCGAGAAACATTTATTGCTTGTTGAGAAACAAAATTGTTGATCAAAATTTGTTGTTCAATATAATTAATCTCATTGCAAGAATCCTCTTGCTACTTGATAAGTAAGGCAAGATACATTATAAAATACACAGGTGACATGCAAGACAGCGAAGGCAACGTTCTCGAACAAGAAATGCTCGGCAACGCAGAACGTGGGGAGAAACCGTCGGCAGAAATCTCTGTGGTGCGAGTTCCTGATCGGTTGGTAGTAACCGCAGCATCCCCGAGGGCCGATGAATTACCAATCAAAGGTCTGGTTGATCATTTACCTGTACCAACACCTTCCCGCGAAGCCTCTCTCACGCAAAAGCTGGAAATGGCTTTGGGTTCGGTTTGCCCCCTCCTTCGAGAGATCATGGTGGATTTTGCTCCCTTCCTGTCCAAAACACTTGTTGGCTCCCATGGTCAAGAGTTGTTAATGGAAGGAAAAGGTACGAGCTGCAAGGGTACGTCGAACGTACAATCATTCTTCTGTGTTCGATGTTTGCATGTTGCATATGAATCTGTTAAGGAAATGTTATGAGCAAGCCAAGACAAATTTTCTTTTCGAATATCATTTTTTTCAAATATTATTTGATATATATATGTATGTGTGTATGTGTGATTTTAGAATAGTCTCTATATAAATTGCGCCATAAATATATCGTAGTTTCAGTACGCGCTTATAAAATTCCTAAAAGGAAATCACAGCTCTCACATTCCACATTTTACGCGCGCGTAATATGATATAGAATGTTTGAGGCTCGATAAATAAAAAGGATATATTTCACGTTGGACTTTATTACACGGAGAACAGTTATAGTATGGTCTATATTTTCTAAACGATGTCGAGATATATCACGTCTACGAATAAAAAAGAATGAAGAATTAAGGAACTAAAACTCATAGTTTTACATAGACATATTTTCCGAAATAATAAATAAAATTATTCTTTGTTTCTTATTATATTTTATTGCGGTAAAATGTTTATTGTAAATATGCATATTTAACATATTGGCAGAATGCTCCATTTTTTATTATTTTATACTCTTTTTATCGTCTCTTTTTCTAAACGTTGAACATTATTTTGAATAAATTTATTATTCAATTCGTAAACATGTGTATGACAAACCAATGTTCGTTATTAAATATTGCGAGATTGATGTATTGTGGGCATTTTAAAAGATAAAATAGTGATCATAAAAATAAGAATTCAACAATGTTGTACGTGTAAAATATTTAAAATCATATATTTAGATATGCTCGCGTGATAAATAAAAATTTAGAGTCTTTTTAAATGGGCATACTTGGCGGGACTTTCGTTACTTTTATAGTATTTCTGTCTCTAGTATTTCACACCGAGTATTCAAATTAGTCACTTTATGATTTCGCTTTAGGAAGATGGTCAGCGTATTCCAAGTAATCGCTCATCATTAGTATTCAGCATGCGCGTAGAGACTACGATGATTCTCGCAGATTTTATATTCAAGGAACGTAGCGTTTGATGGGGTTTTGCAACGTATCGATGTACTTTATTTTTAACAATATCCGCGATACACTATACGGTCTTGGTAGAACGCGATTCTGTTCGTTTCTTCCGTTTGTCAGTCATTGTTATTCACCGTTTATCGTTCGTTCGTTTAACGATTCCCTGTTTGTAATTTGCCAGGTTTAACCACATTTAAGAACAGCAACTCCGTCGTGGAATTGGTTATGCTCCTCTGCTCTCAAGAATGGCAAAACTCTCTGCAAAAGCACGCAGGTCTCGCTTTCATCGAGCTCATTAACGAAGGAAGGTAAGACGTTTATTATACGGCTAGGCGCGCAAACAAAACAAAATCAAACTTTCTCGTTTCCCTTCATGAAAATGCTTCCTTGCGTTACACAGGCTGCTATCTCACGCGATGAAGGATCACATAGTAAGAGTCGCAAACGAGGCAGAGTTCATTTTAAACAGGATGAGAGCGGATGACGTGCTGAAGCATGCTGACTTTGAGGTATTGCATGCATTTCTTCCGGCGATTTCATTGCCCTGTAAATAGAACCGACCAGTTTTTGTCGCCAGATCGTTTTCGCGAGTCATTTAATACCGATACGACAACAACAATCCTTCTGCTGAAATAGATTGTTATAATCCAATACTATATAAAAAATATTATACATTAATAATACATTAATATTACATTATATTAATAATACATACTTCTTTCTTGATACTTAGTCACAATGCGCGCAAACGCTATTGGACCGTCGGGAAGAAGAACGCATGTGCGATCATCTAATCACCGCAGCACGAAGACGTGATAATGTTATCGCTAGCAGGCTTCTGGAGAAAGTCAGAAATATTTTGTCTAACAAGCACGGCGCATGGGGATACATGGATCCAATGGCTGCAAAGTGAGCGCAAATGTTTTAAATTGATTTTATATTGCACATAATTGTATTCTATATATATCATATTATTTACCTGTTATCGCTGTTTACAGATTAGCCGAATACTGGAAACTGGATGCTTGGGAGGATGATGCACGTAGACGTAAGCGTTTCGTGCACAATCCACTAGGCTCGAGCCACCCCGAGGCTACTCTCAAGGCGGCTCTAGAACACGGTGCACCCGAGGATGCGATACTTCAAGCGCGTGAAGAGTTTCACGCGCATCTCGCAGCCTCGCGTGCACACCAACAGCAATTGCAGTCGGCGGATCTTCTGGATGACAGTGAATTGCTAACGGACGACAGGGATCTCGACAACGACTTGACAGGTTGGTCGAGTGAACCTGATAAACGAGACGCGACATTTTAATGGCATATTACTGACCGCGCAAACCGGTTTTATTTTCGTCAATTTCATTGAAATCGTTATTTAAGTATCGGTCAATTGTCATCTGTTAGTTTAATTTTCTGCATTTAATTTCCAATTTCTATGCGTCGTACATTACAAAACAAGCATGCTACTGATAATTTATAGTATGCATGAGTTTAAAATAAAATAAAAACACAGATAAGTAAGCGTCAAAATACAGTCGAGATTTGGATCTTGGTGCTTAATAATATTTGTATGTAAATTTTTGAATACATCTTCCAATTAAATAAAAATGAGGAAAACTCAATCACGTTTAAATAAAAAAAAATTGCGTGTACAGGCAATATGTTATTATTTCATTGGGATGCTGTTTACACGCACACTGACTGATTATTCGTGTTTTACCAGGTCCAGTGAATATTAGCACGAAAGGCAAATTAATCGCACCCGGTATCGTGGCGCCCGGCATCATTTCCGTTACATCTACAGAGCTGTATTTCGAGGTGGACGAGGATGATCCGGAGTTTAAAAAAATCGACAGTGAGGTGAGTACTTAAATTAAAGCACATATGAGAAGACATGATAAAAAGACACTTGAATATTGAATACTGAATACTGAATATGCGTCTTTGTTACAATATGCGTTATTTATTTAATCTTCGACTATTAGTTGCTTTATCTTGTTTTCTCTTCATTAAGATAGATTATATGTATTTGGAACATTCACGGTGTTATCTATTTGAAATATAGTCGTCTGTTGTCTTGGCGATAAAACTGTATTTTAATGAAAAACCAAATCGTCAAGAAAGAGACCAAAGTTAAATTTATAGCATTTTCTTATGAGACTAAAGAAGCTAAAAAGCATTCGAGAAGCATTAATTCTGTGATATGTTCGATTACTTTATTTTGCAATCAATATTGCAATCAGTATTGCATTATTATTTTCTAATTTCTTTCAATTCGCTTTTATCGTTTATCGCAAATGCACCTTTATCAACGTGCATTTAACACTGCGGCTAAAAATGTGTGCAGCTTAAAAATGTGTGCGCTAATAGCATACACCCATTATTTACATATTAAATGTTTGAGGTAATATTTTACGCTGGCCTCTCTTAAACTGACGAACGCGAAAGTCTAAGGTAGCCGCTCATAACGAAGAGTATCAATCATTTCGACCGTCATAGAATTTGAATAAGTGTACGTCGTAAATGATGAGACGTGGCGAAAGCTTCCACGGCACCGCTAGTGGAGGCAGATTCTGGCTAGAATTAGTTCGGACGTGTCCCTGTCTATCAGTGTCCATAAGGCACCCTACATTTGTGAAGCTTCCATAATAAAAAAAAAACGAAAGGAAAGCCGAGATAAAGCTGAGAGAGAAGTCGAGAGATAGAAAGAGAAAGAACGAGAGAGGAAGGTGAACTGGAAGAACTAGAAGGACGATTATCATATATCGGTCGTAGATCTCGCGTTTGTATAACTAGGGAATAAAACAAACAGAAGAGGGCCCCATGGGGTCTACCGATCTTCAGGGTCGGCAATTATGAACCCCCCGTGGGGCCCGGTATCTGTCTGCCCGCTCCTCCGGCTCTCTTCCTCTTTATCTTCCATCGCCTTGCCACGCACTAACTATGAATCGGTGGCATAGGTGAACAAGCTTCTCACAAGAATGCACTGAAACTACTGCTTTTTCCCACCTAGTCGATGAACATCACTCAGGGAAGTCATGTGTCTAGCGCGGTAAATAAAATTTGTAATACCCATATTGAGAAAAAATATTTGAGAAAAAAAATTTCTGGTACCAACAAGAAAAACAAACAAAATAAATTTTGATTACATAAATCAGAATTTTGATTATCGCAATTGAATTTTTAGTTATTTCGACTAGAATGTTTCATAGATTTAATTACCTTATAAGCACATACAATATTCCTTTAATGTTATGTCAATATTATGTATCCTTTTTAATATTTATATAATATTCTAAGAATATTGTGTCTTGCAAGGTATAAGTGTTTAACTTATCTAGTTGAATCTAATGAATATCACAAGATTTTTTTCAATTACTCCTCGATGATGTGAATTAATAATTAAATACGTAATTTTATTCGATAAGTTCGATCATCTTGTAAACGATCATTAACTTCCTTGAATTGTGTAAATTTTATCAATTCCATAGGATCAGTCTCTTTTAATGCGACGTTCCTCGTTAGTTAATAAAGAAAATATATTCGTTGTTCTCCGCGCGAGAGACTCTCGGTAATCGCTCGCCGACGATCGTATCTCTGTGTTTCTCGGGGGTATGCACAAGGATTTCGCAGTGTCCACCTGTCGTCTCCGTTATATCTTGACCGACGGACTTGCCCATGAATAGGACGTACGAACTCATTCGGGCTCTCTTAATTGGAATCCTTTTTAAGAAAGAACGCTGAGCGCACCTGGAAGCGAAGAGGGAAACAGCGCGAGAAGTAAAGAAAGACAGGCAGACAGATAGAAGCAAAGGAGAAGAAGGAAGCAGAGATAGAAATGAGGAGCAAGGCGAGAGGAAGAATAAGAGAGAGAGAGAGAGAGAGGAAAAGGAAGAGGGAGAGGGAGAGGGAGAGAGAGAAAGAAAGAGAGAGAGAGAGACCGGTCGTTCACGATCGAGACACGCTCATTAGTCGAGGATGTCCTGAGGGTAGGCGGGAGGCTTCGTCGAATTCGTAGGCGATGGATCACTCGATAGTCGAGCCGAGACTTAAGCGATCGTAATGCGCGGCCGCAGAAGAGGATGCACCCAGGAGTGGCCTCAGGGAGGGACTGCATATCGGACCGCGCGCCGCTGCACCCTTTTGTGCGTATCTCTCCTTATGAGTCTCCTCCACCGCCGATCGCGCCGATTTCTCCCTTCTTCTTCCTTCACCTTTTATAATGGCCCAGGCAAACGTATTTATCGTGATTTATCGTTTACACGGGTTTCTTCTTTCTCTCCCGCCCCACACTGTTCCTCTTTTCTCTCTCTTTCTCTTTTTCTCCCTTTCTCTCTTTTTGTCTGTCCCGCAACGCCGTATGTTAAAGATAGAGGATGCATACCGTGCGATTACGTCGAGAATGAATTATTGATAGTCCGCACGAGGCATTAATATCTAAAACAAATAATCAACGATACGGCCGCTCTTTCACAAATGTACTTTTCGTCTCTAATTTGACGAAGAAACTATGTATACTCCTCTTTCGCAGATTAAATACTGAATCGCAAAGTCTTTGCAGCCATTCGTAAATTAATGGTTATTTATATTGCGTATCGTATGTGAGATTTATGTCACATAATTGCTCGTGATGATACGTAATAACGATACGCTGTCGTCGCGACTTGCATAAGCTGAAAATTGAGTCGCCACTTGGGTTATTCTTAGAGACAGCAAAACGTGAAGTACGGTCGTAAAATAAATAATCAATTTCCTGAGTTTCTTATTAGCATTCATCAAGGTGGAAAGCATATATATAGAACGCATATGCTGTTTGTAAAATGTACATATAATGTATATTCAAGGTATATATATTAAAAAAATGTTGCTAAAGTGTCTGAAAATTTAACTAGATACATTTCTAAAAATAATTTTGTTTGGACTATCGAAATAATTATATAGGACAATCAAATTGGTTGCTAAAAAATCGTTAAAATTTTTTGCAACATTATTATCAATGTTTAATCGTCTTATATAATTATTTTAATGATCCAACAAAATTGCTCAAAATTGCTCAAATTTATATCTCTCTAAATTTTTAAACACTTCAGCAAAACCATTCCTTCCGTCACAATAGAAAGTCGACACTACCGCTTTTAAAGTATAAATATATCTTACTATATATTACAGCGCGCAATGCAACAATCTTTAAAAAGTTAATCGTTAATTTCTGTTTTTACATCGTTTTATATCTTTCGAGTTTGCATTTCGGAGGAGAAAAAGCAGATCAGGTTTCACAAACCTAACGGCTTGTTGCCTCAGCTTCAGAGGGTAGGTCACACGGGACATTAAACTCCGCGGTGGCTCGAGAGACTCGCATTTTTATGGAAACCTGCTCTGTGGCGCCTAAAGTTCCCGTTCCTGTGGTATAGTTATCGCAGACACATGCTGTGAATATCCTTGTGCGATGTCCAATGTTGTACGAAAAAAAGAGAGAAAGAGAGAGAAGGAGATAGTGAGAAAATAGGAGAAAGAGGATACCAACTGGACAGGTGGTCTGTGCCATACGTTGGTTCGCGACGAAGATATCATTAACGAGGGTTACAGCGCCGTGAAAAATTCGAGACATCGAGCCGTTTATCAATGATCGCAAATACAAACTGCCTCGTAGATCATACGGTGTTAGAGATTTCCAAGTTCGTAGTTAGTGGTATTTCTCGCTGCGATTCACTTCACACTCGGGGATTATTAATATCGCCGTGTTATTCATATATAAATATACATTGTGTAGGCGATTGTGTAACGGATACGGATCTCTTTGTAAGATAACGATATGAAAAAAACTTTCTATCGGGAGCGTACACGTTTGTACATGAAAGACTAAACGAGAATGACAGGAGGGCGGATTGTGACCGAGCACCGGTTTAATGTTATGCGATTACGGTCTTCTTAGGCAATACATATGCATGACATTGGTGTAATATAGTGCGAGTGACGTTATAATAATATGACTGTAATTATTCCGTGCCTCGATCCGCGATATCTCGTGATAGTATTACAAAGACTGTCCACCTCGCTTTAACTACCAGCCATCGAATGCGCGACCGTATCTTATCGCAATTATTCCATCGCATTATTCTTGCATATTGCGATTATAAACATGTGTCGATAAATAATAAAGCCTGTCAGCTACTCTTGCGGTCAGATTGCCGTGCGATACGTGGCTTCTTCGAGAAGAAGAGACGTGCTTTTCCTCTCCCGAGCGCGATGCGTCTGTGCTCGCTCTTTGAATTATGTATCGTGTATTCCGGAATAATAATTCACGTTGAGTTTGATGAATAAGCATATAACTCTTGATCGGATCTAATTTCTTCTGCTTGCGTATATATCACCCGTGTTATTATTAATAAAAACAAGAGGCAATAATTACTCTTCCAACAGTTTCATTGTGCGTTTTCTGCTAAAGGCACGAAGATCAAGGTGCACGCGCGCGTATCGAGATACAAATTTGCATATCCCGCATAATTTAATCGATCCACGATTTCGATGGGACTCGAAGTTGCCGATGACCAGGTAGCCGATGACCAGAGGGATAGTCTGCGCGAAAAGGATGCAGTTAGTTTGGTAAACATCCATCAATTCATGGGCAGGGCAGCGCGAAGCAGAGAACGGGGCAGAACCTGAAGAGCAGGCAAGCTGGAAGGAGCAGGCGGGTTCATTCTCAACAAGGCAGGGGTAATCACTGCTATTAGTGCGGACATTACTCCGGTGGTCTGCCAATCTCCGTAACACTCCATCATATCGGTGCCTCAAGGCTCTTCAGTGGTGTAGAAAATGGATTTTCCTGCAGATTTCAATCGTGCGACATTTTACATCCGTGT